TTCTGTCTAGAATCCAGAACGCTACAACTTTAATGGACCAGTTTATGTTTAAAAACAAAAATCTCCCAAAGGTTTGGAGAAACATGACAAAGAATGGAGTCCCTCGGACTCACCCAGCCTTTTTTGCCCTACCATCACAAATATAAACATCTCAGGCTCATTTTGCTCAGACGAGACCAAGATCTGGCTTTTCAGAGTGTGTCTGACGCAAAGCAGAGAGCGTCACTTAAAAACTCTGCTACAGCAAGGTAGAGGATCTGTGATGCTGTGGGCCTGTTTCCTTACAGAAGGTGAAAGGAAGCTGAACTCTTTCTGAGAGTGCAATAACTACATGGTCCAATAAAACCAAATGGGTCAGATCAACACGAAATCGTTTCAGAAAGCCAAATCCCGAATTGATCTCGATTACGGTGCATCTGGACACGGGTCGTGGGAAAATCTTTGGAGTTTCATCCAGCTTGTCATCCCACCCCCATCTGATAACCTGCCTCTCTAAATATGCCTGCACAGCGTGTTCAAACCCATCGCTTTGTCTGACAGCCAAGCAGATACAAGCGTAGATGCCTGGCATCTTTCGCCCACGTAAACTTTACCGTCTTGGAATAAAAAGAGACAGAGAAAAAAAAAATCCCACTCCTTCTCATCATGTTTAATATCCACCCACGTGCACTCCACCCTTCCCATTAATAGAACATACTGGGGCCCCTATAGAGAGGGGCCCCCTCCACGGGTTCAGGTACGAGTTTGTATCTCTTTTTTTGTTTTTTGTTTTTATGACTGTATAGGAATGTAGCCTGGTAATAAATAAAAAACGATGATAAAAAGCCCTTAGGTGATGCTTTTTCTCTCTTTTCCTTTCGGTTTCCACGACACACGCTCTCCTCTCTGATACGCACTTGCGCAACAGAGAGGAGAGCCGCGGAAAGTCTAGTTTTCGCACCTCCAGTGAAAGCAGGGAGGGGAGGGGAGACGGTTAGCGTGCGTGTGTGTGTGCGCGTGTGAGTCTGTATGGAGGCGGGGAGGGAAACCCATGACTTCCGTATTTTTTTCCTCTATCTGAAAGCGTGCTCTGGAGAGCGCGCTATAAATGCTCCTGTCATGGTCCTCAGAGCCGCCACACTTTACCAAACAGCAGGACTGAGCTGAGGTGATTAACAGAGCGGACTAAACTCCCAGGAGGCAACTGACCCATCAGCTGGAGGACTGTCTTTGCCTTTTTTTCTTTTACTTGTTTTTCATAACTTGCATTGGCACTTTTGAGCGTTTCGCGCCGCATCACAATCTCGGCAACAGCAGACAGACCAATGGAGCAAAGCAGCAACCAGGCGGACGTGGAGTCTCTCCAGAAAAGCGCCGGACGGCGTCGGAGCCTCGTGGATTTCTTCCTCGGCATGTCCGTCGTGATCCTGTTCGTGGCGGTCACGGCTCTGGCTGTCGGCGGGATGCTGGTGGTGAAGGAGCTGCGCTCCGAGCTGCGCGACCCCGCATCTATACACGCCCGCCTGGTGGACAGTGGCTCTCCTTCCCCCACTCCATCTTACAAGGTAAACCGCGTTTTCATTAATGACAACCTTACAATGCCTCAGTTTTGTTTTGGTTTTGTTTTGTTTTTTCATAAGCTTTGGTTGTTTTCTGACACGTGTCCTTTTCTTTCTTTTTTTTTTTCTCAACAGATGCAGAATTTTGCTTACTTGAATCCCACACAGAGTGAGTATTTATTTTTATTTGCCCTAATTTCAACAAAGCCGTTGCTTTTTTTTAAACGAGCTCACATCCAAAATTAAATCAACAAAGCAGAAATAACTACTTCAAGTTTTAACCGGCAACGAGAGCATGAATTCAGCATGTGTTACGTTAACGTGCCACAGTCAAATAAAATAAATAAATGACAGAGAGAATAAACCAGTGAAAATATGATAAAAATAATTATAGTTTTCATGTAGAAAAATTCTATATAATTATTTTATATTCTGCCAAATATAGAGGGTCAAAAGCACTGCAGTTGAATAAATAAATGTATATATAGTTGTGATAAAACTGATGAATTCCTTTAAAAAATAGAAAAATGTGTCAATATGTCAGTTTGTTAATTGTAAAATAAAATAATGAAATGTCTACTGTTCATCATGCAATGAAATTATATTGACATTCATATTTTTGGTAAATATGGAGCATGAAAACGGACAATAATAATAATAAATATAGGGGTTTATTCGTCTAAATATTAATTTTCAGTTTTTATTCAGTCATGTTTTAAAGGTGCTGCAGCTCACTTTGTGTAGGAAGGACTGACATGATCAGTCTGCACTGCTGTGCATGTCAGCCAATCAGATGTCGCGTCTATTTGGCGACAGTAAATAATCTTAGAACATCTGCAGCACATTAAGAATAAAATGTTTATGCATAGTTTCAGAATAAATTGAATGAAAATGAAATGTGTTAAATGATTCTTACTCTGACTGTTATGATTGTGTATTTTAGAAAGTATTGACTCATTTAAATACATATTTAAACAACAACAAAAAACCTTTATTTAATGTATGTATTAAATTTTTTGAGTTGTTGATGTCATGTGCTATCACATACAGAAAAATGTGTTTTATAAATATATTTCGGCACTTTTGGCCCTCAGTCCCCTTCTCCCTTCTCATTTTCTGAAAGGTGTTTTTTCTGCATCTAAAATGTAAAAAAAATTGAGGTTTAATGAATATTAACTGTGCTTACTAACCCTCAGTAACCATCTTCTAACCAACCACATGTTTTTCTTCTGTCTTAGGTAAACTAGACAACACTACAATGTCTTGGAAGATCTCCAGTTATGGCGAAAGGAAATCGATTGGGAGCAACTTCCAATACGACGAATCGAAGCGATCCCTGACGCCATCGAAGAAGGGGACCTACTTCATGTACATCCAGGTCACTGTCAACTGCACACACAAATGCGAAGCAGGCGTCCTCAAGCTGGAGGTGACCGGCAAGCTCACCTGCAACGTGGAGCTTACAGACGACGTGGAGAAAACGCCCGTCAGTAAAAAGTGCTGGACGGTGACCGAGCTGGGCAACGACGACCTGATCACTCAGATGACTGTATCGAAGAAGACAAAGGAGAACTGGAGTTTGGACCAGGACAGATCGGGCCTCGGGGTGTTTCTCGTAGACTGAGGATCTGCGGCTGCGGGTGTCTGGAAGAGAACGGGACCCTGACCCTGTGGGGGGGTCGTAACACAAACGTGAACACCAGTGGGTTCTTTGTGTAAGCTCAGGAAGGTGGAAACGTGCCAATATCGGTACCGGTACCGGTCAAGAGTTGAGGTGGGATGTTTTGTTTTTGTTGTTGTTTTTTTATTTTGTGGTTTTTGTTTTTGCACTGAACCAAAGAGTCTCTGCAAGGACTTTAAAGAGAAATCTCAGGACAAACATCACTCAATATCAAAAAACTCAGTTTTCTGCATTGTCTTGCAGTGTATTTATTTTAAGTTTTATTTATGTATCTATATTTATAACGCTGTGGGAATGTTCTGTTATTGCTGTAGATGCCACTACATATGTGTTGATGTGCAATGCATTGTTACCGCACTGATTTGGTTCAGTTTTGAACTCGGGGAGCTGGATGTTGTTTCACAAAAAACAAAGGGTGACACGTCGTCAAGGAGACAAAGTTCTGCAATCGCCACCGGCGATTATGGATAAGACGCATTCCATGTGGAAACTCGCGAGCCAGGAAAACGTTCCGCTTGTGAGAAAAATGTAAGTCCTATGGACAAAACTATTCAAACGTGAATGTATTTTTTGTTGTAATCCATGTCAAACATGGATGTAATGTTCTTAAGTTTATTGCAAAAAATGAATAAATAAATAAATAAAAATCAAAAAGTGAAATCATATGTGCAACGTTTCAAGTGGATTTTATGAAGTTTTATTTAGGTGAGGGAAAGTTCCCCGGTGTCACGGAGACTGTAACGGGAACTGGACGCACATCACATCCTGTTTGTTGATTGCAGCGAGCGGTTTAGAAAAAAAAGAAAAAAACCTGTGGGCCATCAAACATACACACTTTTTTTTCTTTCTCTACACCTCCTGAGTTGATGTCAAGCAAAACAAAAAAAAATTTCCGGCCACAAGATATGAGAAATACGCTCTTAATTTAGCCAGCACGGGCAAAAAAAAAACCAAACAAAATGTTCAAAGATTGCTGTGTTGCTTCCTATGAAGATGCAAAAATGCTTTTTGAAGAAATGCATGTGATTTAAAACGTCTGATGGATTTGCTGCATTTAAAGGGAATGTGCGATTGTTTTGTTTTGCCATATGCTTTCACTTTATGGCCCCAGTTCATCAGAGGTCACAGGTCATCATAAATATAAAAACTGATTGACTTATTAAGTAACTTAGTTTTATCTGAAGCACAAATGGCACCTTTTCACTGAGTTTTTCCAAGAATTGCATTCCTAAAAATATGTGTTTTAAAGTTTTATATCTTCATAAGCTCATAAAAATAAGTTCAGAGTTCAGGAATCCCTGCTGAAAAACAAAACTAAGAAATGCAAGCTTAAAAAAAATGTAACAAAAAAAAACTAAACATCAAAAACCACAGATCTCTTGCTGTCTGACAGAATGAAGTTGTTTTTTTTCCTGAAACAAGCCGATCGGTACCTTAAAAGTTTTGAAGAGTTTGTTTTTATTCTTAGACCTTAAGAAGCAGATTATATCCAATAGTGTAATTTGAGATTTCATGACTTAAAGGTTATTTTAAAGACCGGCATCAGTCATAGATGGGTCTCTGCTCCCATACAGCTGACTCAAACAGTCCAATGAACTCATTAACAGCACGGACCTGTTAATGAACCATCATTTGATTTTAAGTGTGATGAACCAGGCAGACCGCTGAGGTCTGCAGGACACCGACCTTTTGGACTCCACAGGAATAAGGAGATGAGACGGGAAACGTTTGCTGCCCAAACCCCAAAGAACAAGGAAAAGTTCTAGCTCGGTCCAACTCACATGCTGTAAGATTTTCCACCGATTCATTGCATTTTTTCGGGTGGAAGATGCAACTGGGCAGTGGAGGTCGGTGGAGGGACTGGATGGTGGTGGAGGGCATGATTTCCTTCGCTTTGGATTCCTGAGCAGGTCAGTGCGAAACTTTTCTGAAGGCTTAAAGACACTAATGAGACGAGGATAAAACACAAACAGGCTCGGAGAGATTTACCAAGAACAAGAGCAGACTTTTGAACAAAGACATGGAGCAATTTGGAAAAATCAGGAAATAAAATGCTTGCAATGTCTTGAGAAAGATGTATTTGATCACACAGGAAATTGTAAAATTCAAGGGTTATCTTATATTATAAAGATTGTCACTGTATGCACCAATGGTGTGTGGTTGATACCAGCTATTTACACAGATATGTTACACACATAGAGCCCAAAAAAACTGCTTAATGCATCTAGTTGTCAGTCAAAAATAAAACCAGCCCCAGGAAACAACACATTACCAAATTTGGACTTCCTTCACGACATATTCAGTTTCTGCTTGTGCAAAAGCTGAATATGTATTACTTTTTTTTAATTATTATTATTTATTTATTTTACTGTTTTTAAACATTTGGCTTGGAAAGTCAAAAAACATTCATCATGTTGAGAACATCTAAGTGTTAAAACTGAGCTCTGTAGCTGCGGCGGGAATGAAAGCGAAGAGTTTTGGTAAGTGAGAGGTCAGAACTTAACCTGAGAGCAGAAATTAAACAAAATGCCACAAGACACTTCACACCTTGTGAAAACAATGCAGAACACATTTTTACTGATTTGATGCGTGAAAATAATAATAATAATAATAAAAATCTCAAACTGGTTCTTTGTTGTCTAAAAGAGTCAGACCCGAAACAGCAAAGCAATGGGAAGCTGTTCTTTCACTTTCTGAACTGATTACGCAAAAAAATATAAAAAAAAATTAAAAGGTTTCAAAGAGTCGAACTTCAGAGGTACTTCAAACACTCCAGCATCCTCTGAAATTACTAGCGTGCTGAGCTTAAAGGAACGCTACCTCAGTTTCTCCCTCGGCGCTTGGCTGAGTAACCCGCAGCCTCGCTGTTCTGAGTCACTCTTAGCATCGTTTTTACAGGTAGCCGCTTTCACACCAAAAGCCGTGCAGAAAACAGGCTGAAACCCATTGAACCCAGCGGGAGGCTGACAGTAAGCGTTGCACGCAACATTTAGAGGAAGAGCGACAGCGCAGGCGACAGGTTGCAAATCTCAGACTCGCCAAGTTGTGGTCCTCTTTTGTGCTTTTTTTTTTTTTTTTGCTCTGGAGCGACAAAAACCCACGCTGAGAAATTTCAGCGGGCGCCTTTTCAGCGTATCCATATCTCTTGCAAATTTTGGTGTCAACGTGGAAGCTAACCTACAAAAGATTTCAGGAAGAAACAGCACACATGATTTACAGCCTGAATTAAGTTGATGTACTTACATTTACATTCCTTTTGTCTTCTCTGTGTCTTTTTTTTTTAATTTTTATTTTATATCTAAAATTGGCCATTTTTTTTATCAGAAATCCACAAGTTCCTTTCCACATTCCTGCATCCGACATGATGGAGGCGTTTGTGCAGTAAATCAAAAAGTCACTTCAGGTGGTGATGTGAAAGCTCCCTGTTAAATCTACAGCAGTGCAACGCAGCAAAGCTCAGCCTTACCTTAAAAGCCTGCTGAGAAGCAGCCGCAACACCTTTTGCCTTGACGCCACAACACCTGCCGTTACTTCAGCAACGCTTCCATATGGCGCAGCACCCACTCTATGGCATCCTGCCTACTGCCGTCTGCCAAATATAAACCCCAACACGCCTCTCTTGAAAGGAAAAGGTGCATCACAAAAGAATTCACACCCTTTAGATTTTTGCTTGCCCAACAACCATGCATTTCTAGACATGTTAAAGAAGAGGAGAAAGGTTGTATTATTCTCAAACTGTTTACACGCAAAATCTCAAAAGCGTGAGATTTAGCCCCTTACAGTCTGGTACCATTGAAAGTCATCATCGGTTGGGTTGAGGTTTAAAGCAGGGTTAGGCTGTGAGACAGCAACCCGAGCTTTTGCATGTGGCACAGAGGATCTGGTCAATGAAAAGTCTGCAACACAAACTCAGTCCCATCGGTCTCGTCAGTTGATGGGAAGATGCGCGGAGACAAAAACAAGTTTTCTTCAGATACCAGAAGAAAACCTGTTAGAGATTTAAGGGGAAGTTCAGGAAGTTGTCATGAGATTTAGTTTTTAAGTAGTTGGTTAGCAAAACGTCTATTGCAATGCGAGCATGTCTCCTTGTTTGTAGAGTTTAACCTCTGGCTTCAGGATGATTGGCTTGCACTAAGAGTCAAAGATTCTTCCCAGTCGAGACGTGAAGGCTGATGTTCTTACATGCATCTTATCCAAGTTTGCTCTGCAAGAGATTGTTTATTTACATGTACAAATGCCAGCGCAGTTCAGTTTGAAGAATACGGTGGAAAAGGTAACAGATTCTGATTCTGATTCTAGTTGACCTGCAGCTCTGATGTGGTGAGATATCGCCACATCTGGTTAGTGAATAACTCCCTCTCTAAGTAATTTTAACTCAGACTCCTGCTTGTTTCTCACAACAGAGGTTTAAAACTTGATTATCACAAGAAAGGGTGCTTGAAATCACTTCTTGCAACCAGCGTTGGTATTTACCAAAGTTGGGCGCATTTTTTGTATTTCCGGGGAAGGCTCCGAAAGAATTTTTGAGGTCAACCTTGATAACATTTTTGCAGAAACCGCTTATCACCGGATAAGTAAACTTACCATGAAAGTGCAGGCTGCGTCGAGTAGCAGCATCTTTGCATCAGGTGGTCGGGGGTGGTTGTGGTTTACGTTTCTTGTGCTAATTAAGGGGAGTCAATTCTGTTTTCAAAGTCAGGTTGGGGTAAGACGAGAGTCTTTTATGGTTTGGGGATGAAACTCTCCTGTTTCATGTTTGCCAAGTCCCACAGTGCAGAGCGGTGACAGTGCTACATTTGCATGCAGGCTTTTTTTTTTTTTTTTTGCATTTGTCAGCTTGTTTACTGACTCATTTCTGTGGTTTTGTGCCTTTCTGCAGGCGGCTCTGTGGGATAGTTGAAAGCACTGGAGCACGCTGCTCTAAGGACGATGGCACAGCTGCGCTGCTTTTCTTTCCAGTGTGGTTATTTTTGTGGTAGCAAAGCTTGTTTTTTCCCAGGTTTTGTTCAGAGCCACCACTGTTGTCTTATAGGGCGTCTTCACACCTGATAGTCTGGTAGACTCGGATCCATCGGGGACCAAATTTGCAACATTTCTTTACATTTTCAGCTGGTGCGGTTTGCTTTCTTCGCCAAGCCATTTGAAAATCCTGTTCCTCTCGCATTTGCTTTGGTTGTACTTACCCAGAATGCCCTGCGCTACAGACCACCTCCTGCTTTTGGAGCGCTGTCCACCGGTCCCCTTGGTGTTCACATATGCCTTTTAATCGCACAAGAGTTCACTTCAACTGAACTGAGGTTTTCAGGTAGACCAGAGTTTGTTTGTTTGTTTGTTTTTGTTTGTTTTTGTCAGCATCAGAGTTCATTTGAGTATTCAAACCTCCACAAAAGAATCGGACAGACAAACTACAGTTGGGTTATGGTGGATTATAAAGGGATACTGTGAAAACTCCCTAAAACAAGTCTGAGCTCATTTTGTTCTGAGCATTTTTTACAGAACTTTTAAGCATTTTGTCACATTTCAACAGCAAACATCCATTTACTGACAGATCATACAAATGAGAGCATAATCAATACTTTGCAGAACCAACCTGCAGTCACAGCTGCAAGTCTTTTTATTTTTGTCTTTACCAGATTTCTGGATCTATGGACTAAAATGTGCACCCATTCGTTTTTTTTCTTTCTTTTTTTCAGAATAGCTCCCTAACCTCCGCCAGATTGAAACGAGAACATCTACAAACATAAGTTTCAAATTTCACCACAGATTGAGAGTTGAAGTTTGACCTGGACTTTGACTAGGCCATTCGAACACGTGGTTATGCTTTGATCTAAGCCAGGGGTCACCAACTCCAGTCCTCAAGGGCTACCATCCTGCAACTTTTAGATTCACCTCTGCTCCAAAATGTCTGAATTCTCTCACCAGCATTCATTCCTCTCTGCAATAGGCTGGAAACGAGCAGTTTATTTGATCCAGGTGTGTTTGAGCAGAGACGCATCTAAAAGTTACAGGATGGTGGCCCTCGAGGACTGGAGTTGGTGACCCCTGGTCTAAGCAATGCCAGAGTTCTGACTGTTCGTTTACAGTCGTCCTGCTGGAAGGTGAAGAGGAGCGTCCTCACACCGTGATGCTGCCAGCGCCACGTTTCAGGCTGATGTTCCTCAATACACAAAGCGATTCAGCCCAAAAGTTAAACTGGGCCAGATCAGCCTCTCCCACACATTCTTAGGAGTTTCTTTAAAAATGTGTTGTTGTTTTTGTGTTTTTGACTTTTCCACAAAGACCAGATTTCTCCTTGCGTTTCAAGATGCTGTTTGTTTACTACTGATCTCTGTTTAATAATTAGTTGATTTCTGACTGCATTGGGTTGCACAATTGTAATACTACACTTCATATATACAATATGCACATATAAATTAAAGAATAACAAATGCATTTTTTTCAACAAACCCTCTTTTGTCTTGATTGTGACTATACTATCTGGTCGGCGCTACATGCTTCAAATAAAATGTGCAAAGTCGTAAAGAAGCCAGTGTTTGTCACGCAGCTGAACATTAAAATGATGCAAAAATAAAAATAAAAATATGTGTAGCACATTTAATTCCGAACAGTTTTCAAATTAAAGCACTTGGGCCAAGCATGCACAGTTTCTTGCACAAGAAGCTTTTTATACGTTTGTTTACCAGAGCATCAAAATGTGGAGATGTTTATCGAGCTCTCGCAGCAGGAAATGACCTAAATTTTGTTCAAATGCAGAAACCTGGTCTGTCCTCTCACACGTGTCTCTCAGAGGTGATCTGGTTACCTGCTCCTCCACCTGGCAGCTCTTTTTTTTTCTTTTCTCTGCTCTCAGTTCAACTTGTTTCCAAGTGTGGAGCTTTGTGTTCTGCATTGCCGCGTTTGTCTTTGTTCACTCTGTCGCAGCTCTTGACAGAGAATCTTAATTACTGTCAAACTTTCATTTCCAGACTTCTGCCTTGTCTGCGCCTATTTTTTTTTTTTTTTTCCATTTGAAACTTTGCTGTGTTTTTGAAACCCACTCCCTGTGGGAAGAGCTGAGTCAGCAACAAGCAGCACTTTATTTCACTCCTCCTCCTTTCTGCGTCCTTACTCAACCACATCCTGCTCCTCTCTCTCTCACACACACACACACACACACGCACACACACGCGCGTGCGCACACACGCATACAGTCATGCATACATACACAAACTCTCCCTTAAGCTGATTGCACATTTGTATGCCTGCAGCCCTATAATGTGGGTTGACTGCGGTTTAAAGTTATCAAGTTGATTTTTCTCTCAGTTTATCATGTGAACAGAAAAATAAATCATATTTCTATGGCTTGTGTTTATGCTACAAAGAAAGAAATCCTCTTACAATTTGTTTTGTAGCATTTGTTTTTATTTAAACACCAAAATATGAGGAATAATTACAATGTAAATATATATGTAATCTGAATATCAGATACTTTTATGTTAAAACTATTTGTTTTTTCGTTGTTCTCAGAATTACATCCATCAGTTGTGGTATACATATATTAGGCTGGTGAGCAGAGCTAGCACAGAGGTATTTCTGCTATTGTCTAAGTGTCTATCCAGATGGCACCAAGACAGTTCTCATTGGCCTCAAGAGACAACTTGTCCATGTTGCTCAGAGTGACATAAATTTCATCTCCGTCCTGCAGGAGGAAAATCCCAGACAGAAAGCTTCTCCATTTGTCTTCGCTTGAAGTGCCACGATTTTCAGAACTATCAGAACTTTTCTTTGGGCCCCAGTTACTGAAAAAAAAAACAGTGAGAAGAGTCAGATTTGGTTATAGTTGTGTTGTATTTGGAGAGGAGGGATGTATGCATCAGGCACAAAAGGAACAAGAGCAAATATAGAGAAAAATCCCACCTTTTGGACTTCAGAAACTCTACAAGTGAACCATAACCACTGGGTTTACTCATGATCGTGTGGACGATAGGCGACGTTGCCTCCGAAACGTCCACTACCAGCTTGGAGTAGACGTAGTAGTAGCCTTCCTGGTTGATTATCAGTCGGCTGTTCCGGTACTCCATTCTCCTTCTGTCGTCGTGAGCGGGTGATCTCCACTGCACTATGTTGCTATTCGACTTCTCAACTCCTGAAACACAGAAGAAAAACACAATATTGTATCGTGACGTACAATATTAGTACGTCACAAAACTGAACCGGAAAACCCTGAGATAAGCTGAAATAACGTTTCACTGGACTAGATTCAACTTTTTAAATTTCCCAAACTGATTCTTTTGAACAGATAAAGCAGCGACCATGTTGCCTCCTCATCTGGGCAACATGAAATTGTGGTTAAAAAAAATGTTTTTAAAGTGAAAAGTCAACATAAAGAGCTGATCTGATGTCCAAATGTGGTTGAAAGCTGGTTGAAATGATGACATCATGGGGGTTCTTACCCATCAAGTGAACAAAGGGCCGTTTCTGTGGCTGCAGTGAAGGAATTTCATTGGATTCTGTCGAGAAAACCAGATAACAATGTTTGTTAAATCAACAAACTAATCAATTAATATGGAAAATGATAAGGTTCTGGGGGAACAAAGGCAGTAATAACAGCTGCATCTCAATGCTTTCTTTTAAATAAAAACAAACAC